TATATATACGAATACCCTACTTACAAAAACACAAACACAAACACATACACACCAATACATACATACATACATACACACATACATACATATCTGTAATACGAGCACAAACAAACAAACACACACAAGCAGACATAAATACATACACAAGCAGCAATTCTTTTTTTTTTTTTTTAAGCAGAAAGGTCGCATTTGTCTGGTTTATACTCTCGACTTATAAGCAGTCCACACCCTCAGAAAATGGCATCATAGAGGAAAAAAATACAGATTAGAGACTGTAGACATAATATTATTTTTAATAGGTTGGCAGGCCTTAATTAATGAAACAACATATGTAATCTCTTATTTAACAGTTGTTGAGGCACTCCATTTTCTATTGTGGAATAATAACTTATTGTTTCTTTCTGCAATTATTTTTTCGGCCCTTTCTGTCATCATAATTTGTTCTTTAAAAACAAGTTTACTCAATGGCCTTTCCTTAACTTTACAGCGATAAATATATCTTTTACCTAATAGAATAATCATGTTCTTGAAGTGGTCGAATTTATCATCAATGAATCCGAAACATATGGTTTGAAAATTAATACTTATAATCAGGTCCAAGCTCTTGACCCATACGGCTATTTTATTCCAGAAATCCCTTACAATTTTACAATCCCACATCAGGTGTTTAATAGTTTTTTCCTTTTCTTTACAGAAAGAGTACTCCTTCGTCTCAATCAGTCCAATTTTGTGCAAGAAATAGTTAGTTGGTAAAATATTATGGATAAAACTAAATTGTAAATATCTAATATAATTATCTAAACTACGTTGGAAAGCCATTGTATACTTGTTTTTCCAGTTGACAATAAGTTCTGCTAGGTTAAAAAATTCAAGTGTTTTGGAATTCCAAAACTTATGTGCAACCGGTTCGGTTACTTCTCTTAATCTAGCATATAAAAATTTACACACTTTAAGATTACTCATCAAATCCAACACGAGTTGATCAGGCTCATTTGCTTCAACACTTTTTAACAAGGAATTACATTCCTTTTTTAGAGTTTTTTTGGATGCTATTCAATATACCATAATATCTAATAAAAGTACAATTAATACCTGGAAAAGCATCTTTAAATTCACTATAACTGATAAAGTGGTCCTTTTGTATAAGATCCGATATGCAATTGACCTTATTTGTACTCCAATTGTGGTAGTATACACATTTATGATTTACTTTATGCAGACGACCTTGTTCTTATGAATGACACTGTTTTTGGTTTGCAATCTTCTTTAAACAAATTGGCTGTCTATTTTGATAAATGGGGTCTTACTGTTAATATTGAAAAAAGTAATGTTGTCGTTTTTAAAAATGGGGGAAAATTTAAAAAAATAGAAAAATGGTATTATAAAGATGTTTTATTACAAGTAGTTAAATCTTTCTTACAATTATCTTGGTGTAGTGTTTAATTCAAATGGCACATGGACGAATGCAATTAGTTATAACTGTACAAAAGCAAACAAAGCTCTTTTTACTTTAAAACGATTAATACATAACCAATTTGGCAACTTATCAATACATTTGTAGAACAAAATTTTTGATGTAAAAATAGTACCAATATTAATGTATAGCAGTGAGATCTGGGGAATCAATGACATACCAATTATTGAAAAATTTCACTCTAGGTTTTGCAGATTTATTTTAGGAATAGGCCACCGATATCTTTAAAAAAATATATATATATAAAAAAACGCGAATAGTTTGAACTTTAACATTTTTATGTAATCAATATTCACGTGATACACACCAAAGTCTTGGCACCATACAAAACGAATTAATCGTATCAAAGTTGTTAGGCCTAATCGTGCAGATAGGTGATCACTGAGGCTGACACAGACTTGAAAACAGCGCATGAGCAAAATACGTTCTATAAGGATTTTACCAAACTATCCTACGTTAAGAAAATACGCCGTCGTCTTTCTCAGTACATTTTTTGTTTTGTTTTTTTGTTTCTTTCCTTTTGAAAGGTTTGTCTCATTTGTGGTATTATTGCTGCATTGGTGTTTTGTCGTATTTGTTTCTGTTCCTTCGATTGATAAATTTCTTGATTTTCATTTCCTCTTCTCTTCTTTCTTATGTAGCTTAACACTCCCGCGGATGTTTCTTTGATTGATTCTACGATGTCTGTCTCTTATACACATCTAGATGTGTATAAGAGACAGGTATTTTATTGTTAATCCATCCAAAGTTTACTCAATTAATGTCCACTACTGATATCAATACAATAAGTTGTTTATGTAAATTTCTTTATCACTCATTTAAACGTAGAAGTGATCATTCCCTCTGTAAATAGCTATTATATTTTATTTGGGCCAAGGCCTTATATAAAAAATGAAATAAATGTCCTTGGCCAATACGTGCCAAGGAACGGAAACGATTAACCTGAATTTGGGAGTTGTACCAAATTACCTTATCTTTAATTTCATATTTATCTCTAAGTTTGAACCAGGCGCTTAAAATTTCATAGAAAAAGGCGTTTCGTTTTTTTTTTTTTATGCGATTTAAGTTAGACATGAGTTTAGGTTCACATTGCTATATCCATTCACAGCCCAGCCTTTTAATTTCTTTAGCAAATAAATGTTTCCACATTCCACAATTGCTTACATCTTTAAATCTCTTGCCCACGTGACCTTAGAAATTAATTTCTAATTGAAATGGAATGCAATAGACCTACTGTATTTGGTTCCTCATCCTGTAGATAAATCAAAATTCACCAATATTTACACATACTGTATGTATTTGTTCTTATCCTCCGATTTGCTACCGCACATATATTGTGTCAATCGGATCCCAAACACAGTACTGTACCATGGCCATGACCCACATTTTTTATCCGGTCAGAAAATTCCCTCACCACATAATAAATCACATACAGTAATAGTAGGATATGATCACGTGACTGTAAACTGATGGTTATGCGGATGATACCGTTACTACTGCAGGCCGGTACGCAGCATTTGTATTGGGTGGGTACAAATTTGTAAAGAGTGGACCAAAATAGCAGAGGTTCAAATAGGGGAAGACCCCTTCTAGGGACATTTTTGATAATTTAATGTCTTATTTAATCGATTTCAAAATGCGATATCAGTGACGCATCCAAGAATTAAAAAGAGGTGGGTGTGGGGGAGGGATGGCAAGGGAGAAACACTTACCGTACAGATGGAGGGTCTACCTCCATGGCTGTAGTTAAAGTAAGAAAATTTATGATTAAGACACCAACAATTTCACTCATATTTAAATTTGAATATAATCTTCTTATTCTATTTTTTAAAAAGTTCTCCAGCATCCGTCACTGAATACGAACAGTATTAAACTGTTTTGTGAGCAACCAAATAAAAAAAATAAATCCCTACATATTTGTACACAGCCTTATGTAACGTGGTACTTTCAACCTTGTGGTGCTTCCTATTTTTCACTGCTTGTGTTAACATACTATTAAAGCTTAAACGACTACAGAAATAGCGAACACAGATAAAACATTGTTAAGACCGGAAATTGTACTTTCAGTTTTAAGAAAGTTGTTTTAAACTAATGTAATTTTTGTATATTTTATAATCTAAATTTTTAAAAATGTTATTAATCACACAAGGTCTACCTCCATGGCTGTGGTTAAAGTAAGAAAATTTATGATTAAGACACCAACAATTTCACTCATATTTAAATTTGAATATAATCTTCTTATTCTATTTTTTAAAAAGTTTTTTGAAAAATTTAGAGGGTCCGGGGCCCCCCCACCCCTCGTTCCCCAGCATCCGTCACTAAATACGAACAGTATTAAACTGAGTGTTTTTATTTTCCAATGTACTGTAATCTGTCAAAACTATAGACTAAAAATAACTAATATTAAAGTTTTCGTAAATAAAATCGAGGTCGGGTAAAATAAATCCCTACATATTTGTACACAGCCTTATGTAACGTGGTACTTTCAACCTTGTGGTGCTTCATATTTTTCACTGCTTGTGTTAACATACTATTAAAGCTTAAACGACTACAGAAATAGCGAACACAGAT